TTTGGGAATTTTAATAAAGTCTGCCATTTATTTCCACCTGTCAGCTCCCTCATGGGTTGGGGGTGGGAGGCCAGAGACCCAGGGGAAGCAGGTCCAGACAGACACTTGATCTGCAAGGACCCCAGGCCCAGCCTACAGCCACTCTAGTGGACTCGGCTTTGGGTCTGGAATCTTAGTGTCTCAGACTTAAGAGGAGCAGCAAAGGGCCCTAGACCGGCCCATCTCCCCTTTTCAGGGCCCCAGGTCCTAGGCTGGCCCAGCCTCAGGAGGGACCCACACGGATGTGAGGGTTCATGAGTGGGTCCAGGTTGGGATCATTGTCAGCTGCAGCCCGGCCCAGGCGAGACATGAGGGCAAGAAGGGCCAGGAAGCCCAGCAGTCCCAGCAGCAGCAGCAGCCCCGCCCGCTGGAGCAGGGTCAGCGGCCGCTTACGAGACCCGTCCCGGCTCCTGGGGGGACGAGGGGAAAGTCAGATCAGGCCCCAGTCTCTGGTGGCCCTGGGGCCCGGAGAAGAGCCCTGGTCATGACGCTCATCTTCTGGCCCCAGCACCACCATTCCTGAGCCTCACTCATTCCCTCAAGTGTGCCATGGGGATGACCACCCCTGTCCCTGCCCACTACAGGGGTGACTGTGCAGCTTGAACCAGCTGAGGCGATGACTGTTCTGGAAACTGGAATGTGTCAGGCATGGGGACAGGCATAGATTGGATGGTGTTGAAGCAGGAAGGGGCCTCAAAGAGCCTGAATCCAAACCTCATATGGAAGAGCCAAGGGAGAGCCCGAGAGGGCAGACCCAAGACTTTTATTGTCAAGCTGAAGCCTCTCTACATAGCCCCAACACCGGGGTACCCAGGTCAAGCCCCTTTTGTCATGAAATCGTTGTGCCCGGGGCCTCTGGCTCTCACTTCCTTTCCTCCCCGTTCCTGGCATCCTACCCCACGTAACCCGGCGTACCTGAGCAGCTGGGCCAGCCAGCCCAGGGCAGGCCGGCGACGGTACTTGTCATCATCGCAATCCCTGTGGAGGCCTGGTGCCCGGTCATCATCCCGTGTGTCATACACCTTCCTTGGGGCCGAGGCTGCAAGGGCAGAGCCACGAGCATTCACAGGCTCAGGGAAACTGCCCCACAGCAGGGCGCGAGGGGAGGGCAGGAGATCCTGGCCCTTCGAAGCCTGACACTGTATCTCAGAATTGTGGGTAGGTAACGTCTGTGCTTGGAGTGAGGAAGGGTCCCTCTGGTGGGTCTCTGGGGCCCTGAGCTCCCTCCACCCTACTCCACTCCCCTGGCCCGGACAATCCCCTGGCTCACCGTGAGTCAAGGGCTCGGAACTGCCCATGTGGATCACTGTGTGCTGCTCAGGTCGGTTGGGGGGCGCGGGGGGCCGGGGGGCTTGGCTGTAGAAGGCGGGGGCAGTGGAAGTGCTGGCTATCTCTTCTTGTGCCGGGGTACTGGCTGTGGCAGGAAGACAGTTGTCAGCAGAGCAGGGAGGCAAGGGCCCCAACAGTAGGTGGAGACCACCACTCACCATTAAAGCTGGACCAGTCAGAGAAGTCAGAAGTGTTGAGGGGCTCGGGCTCCGGGCTCACCACCTCATCGATCTGGAGGAAGGAACCTGTCTCACCAGGCTGCTCAGTGCTGTCCCCACTCCCTTATTTGGCCCAAGACAGATGGACAGACAGACAGAGGGACTCTCACCAGAGGAAGGCCCAGTCCTGCCCGGGCCCAGTTGACCGTGGTCAGCTTCTCTCTCAGCACAGAGGCCACAGGGCCAACCAGGTTGCTTGGGGGGAAGATGGGGCCACTGCAGCTGGGACACTGGTAGCCAGCAGGCGCTGTATTTCGGGGTAGCTGGGCAGCACGTTCATTGAGGCAGGCCCAATGGAAGAGATCTTAGGGCCCAGGAAATAGCAGAGAAGAGGCAGGAGGAAGAAGACACTTTAGGCTCCTCGCCCAGCAACAGCCCCCAGCCCATTGCAGGAATCTACACACACATACGTATAGCCCAGAGCCGCCTCCTTCCCATCCTCACTCTAGGTCCATGTCATCAGTGTTCCCTAAGCCTTCAGCCTTATTGGCTACCGCCATCACACTAAGTCAAAACAGATGCTACAGAGTTCCCCAGCCCACTGCGGCGTGGGTGTGGGTGGGAAGAATTTGCCAATCAACAACAGTTTCAGAAAAGCTTCCTAGACATGCACACAGGCACACGTGTGCTTGTACACACCCATGGGCACAAATATACATGGGCTTATATATACATAATCAAACACAAATGCCATCCTGGTGGCTGTACTTACAGACACATCAACTCACACATACACATCTACACATTCACTTGTTTGCTAACACTTGAGCGCCCTCACCCACACATTCTCCTGCAGCTCCACAACACACTTGTAGTCATGTTCACACACGTTTACCCACTCACGTGTAAGTACTAATGAACACACTAACACTTGTGTAAAGACACCATGCACATAAAATTCATGCACATATATCCACATCCTGACACTAAAAACCACGTAAGTGGAGCTCACTCTTTTGCACTAGCTCCTTCAAAAAGTGGAACTAAGACCAATTGATGTGTCTCTCTCACATCGATGTTTCTCTCTCTCTGTCTCTCCCCCTCCACTCTCTAAAAATGAACAGAAAAATATCCTTGGATGAGGCTTAACAACAAAAAAAGTGGAACTAAGACTCTTAGACCAGAGTCAGGTCAATGTCATGACACGTCTGCTGACTTCTTTCAGCAGACTTTACTGTGGGAAACTCATTTCTTCTGTGTTCAATCTTGGAATCAGCAAAGAATTTTTTTTTTTTAATCCTCACCTGAGGATTTTTCCATTGATTTTTAAGAGAGAGAGAGGGAGGGAGGATGGGGAGGGAGGGAGGGAGAGAGAGAGAGAGAGAGAGAGAGAGAGAGAGAGAAACACTGATGTGAAAGAGACACATTGAGCCCTAGCTGGTTTGGCTCAGTGGATAGAGTGTCAGCCTGTGGACAGAAGGGTCCCAGGTTCGATTCCAGTCAAGGGCACATGCCTGGGGTTGTGGGCTCAATCCCCAGTAGGGGGGGTGCAGGAGGCAGCCAATCAATGATCCTCTCTCATCATTGATGTTTCTATCTCTCCCTCTTCCTTCCTCTCTGAAATCAATTACACACACACACACACACACACACACACATATATATTTTAAAGAGAGAGACATATTGATTGGTTGCCTACCGCATGCACCCCAACCGGGGCCTGGAATCAAACCTGCAACCAAGGTACATGCCCAAGACGGAATTGAACCCAAGATCCTTCAGTTCTCGGGCCAACACTTTAATGCAGGGGTCCTCAAACTTTTTAAACAGGGGGCCAGTTCACTGTCCCTCAGACCGTTGGAGGGCCGGAGTATAGTTTAAAAAAAACTATGAACAAATTCCTATGCACACTGCATTTATCTTATTTTGAAGTAAAAAAACAAAACGGGAACAAATACAGTATTTGTATTTGCATGTGGCCCGCGGGCCGTAGTTTGAGGACCCCTGCTAATCACTGAGCAAAACTGGCCAGGGCTCAGTAATGAATCTTGAATGCCTGAAAGCCCCATGCTTTCAGCTCATGCCTGGTCTGGCCAGCTACTGCTCACAGATACAAACACACCCACAAGTTTGACTGATTTTCCCTCAACCCTCAAGATTGGAGGGCTAGCACCTTTAATTTTTAGGGAAAGATACTGAGGCCTAGGAAGGGAAAATGACTTGCCTTAGTAAACACAACATGTAAGTAACCCAGCAAGACTGGGAACTCGGGCTCCAACCTCCTTAGCTAGGCAGTCTCACTGTCCTGCTGTTTGCGGAGGGCATGGAACCCAGCCACCAAGCTGGGCCTGTCCTGAAACCCCCAGGACTCACCATAACAGACAAGGCGGGTGGTCTCTCGCGAGGCCAGGGGTGTGTTGCACAGGCGGCAATTGGAGCTGTAGTCGCTATCTTGGAGCCACTGCAGGTAAGATTGTACGATGCACTGGAGTGGGAGAGAGGTCACAACTGAGCAGGGGCTCCACAACCCAGCTACCTAAGACCCAATGATCTATCTATCATCGCAAAGACTTCTTTTGTTTGTTCAATCAATAAAGGTTTACTGAGCACAGACTGTGTGCCAGACTCTGTCTTTAGGAGTAGGGGTATAGCAATGAATCAAATGCAGTCCTTGCCCTCGTGGAGCTTCCATTCTAGCGCCTGGCCCTTCATGGATTTGGAAGAAGCCACTACTACCTGCCCTCCCAGTGCCCTGCTCAGCCGCTCTTTTCAAGGCCCCACCTTGGCGTGATTGGCTACCAGGCAGTGCTCGCAGACGTTGACCCGGTGTTCGAAGCAGAATAGGTTTGTCACCTTCCTCTTGGGGCACTTGCAAAGGCCCATGGTCCTCCCTGAAGAAGGGGTCTGAGTTGGTAGGGAGCCAGGTTCTGGTGGCCGCCACTAGGCACTCACCAGCCAAGTTCGTTTCTACTCCCCTGGACACTCATCCCATGTTGGTGCCAGCCCCAACTTCCGGCCCGGCGCCCCTCTTCACTCCGGACCACGCCCCCAGCATAAATCCCTCCTCCGAAGACCCCCCCTCATTCCTCCTGAATCCCGCCCAGGCCAGGCTCCTCCATCCGCGTCCCTCCGATACCCCCGGCCCCGCCCCCAGGGGCCCCTCCTGGGTCCCACCCCTCCAGGCCCCGCCCCCCTTTCTCCACAGACCCCGCTCTCAGTGTTACTGATGCGCCGCGGCACCGGTCCCGGCGAGCGGGAGCGCTGGTCCGAGGGGTAGACACCGCGCCCCGTCGACCTCGGGCGCAGCTCTTTCCAGCGCCGGCCGCCCCGACTATCCCTCCGCTGCCACGTCTCTTCCGGGTGCGGCGCGTGCTGATGACGCCAGCACGCCACTGGCCCCGCCCCTGAGACGCTGTACGTGGTGACGGGAAGAGACGCGGAGAGCGGACCGTCTTTCCCCCTCCCGCCTTGCGTCACTTCCGCTTCCTCACGGGCGAGGCGGGTAGTTCGAACGTTTCTCCTTCGAAGGAGCCTGGCGGTTGGCGCGAGCCCCACCACCCTCGGTGGCGGCGCGGCGAAGGTCGAGACCAAGATATGTCCGAGAGGCGGACGCGGTCCGGCGGGGCCGCCCAGGGCTCCGGTGAGCGGAGGGCGCGCGGGAGAGATGGGGCCCAGGTGCTTGAGGGACGCAGTTCCGTGAGGGAGGCCCTCCCCCTACCGCCTGAAGAGGCTCGGACCGGGAAGGCGCCCCCGACGGGCCTGTTTGGGAACCTCGGTCTCTTTTTTCCAGGGCGAAGGGCCTCACCTCCTACTCAGTCTCTGCGGAGGTCCCAGCGGAAATCAGGCTCTGATATTCCCAACATCCTCCCTGAAATCTGGCCGAAGGTGAGCCCGGGATTCCTCAGGCCCTTCCCCAGGCGCCTCCCTCCCCAGAGGCCCCTGGGCTAGTGTAGAACTCACGGCCACCCCTCCTCTCCAGGCACCTCATGCGACTCCCGTCAGAAAGCCCATCGTCTTGAAGAAGATTGTGGCTCATACTGTAAAGGTAGGGCTGAGAGAGGGGTTGTGGGTGGGGAGCAGCATTGGGGGCGGCTGTGTGATCAATTAGCGTTGTCTCCACAGATCCCGTCTGTCCACTCACCTCGAAGGAGCCCTAGGGTGAGTTCGTTTTCACCTGCTTTGCTGCGTGGAGTCCAGGACATTCTGGAGCTGGGAGGGGGCGTGGTGTCTGCTCACATCTGCGTAGGGTGCTGTTTGCAGTATTTTGAAAGTTTGCCTTTGGACATGTGTATGCATTGCCAATCTTGCTTCCTCCTTAGACTTACTAGGTCTTGATACCCCGGTGTCCTCTACCATTTTCCTTCTAGCCCGCCCCACCCCCCACCTAGGCCTTTACCCCTCCATTGTCTGTGTCCATGGGTTATGCATACAAGTTCTTTGGTTGATCTCTTCCCACCCACCCACCCTCCCCAACGTATTATCTATTTTTCTCCACTAGAATTTTCCATGGAGACGGGTTTTCTATGTTTTATTCCCTGGTCACATTTTGGGGACAGAGCTGGCAGCGCCAGTAGGTGGTGGCAAGTCTTTTTGAGTCACAAAACCACACTCCTCAGAAGCAATGACCGGCTGTTCTTTTCTCCCCTTTCCCACATCTATCTTAGTCTCATTTCTCTCCTCACCCGTCTCCTCTTTTCCTTTTAAAAGTGTATGTCCAGTGGCTCTTTCCTTCCACCCTGAATCTCCTCGGGCCTCCTGGAAGCAATATGTCTGAGTAACAGGGAGGCATTCTCTCTCTGTCCCGGTAGATTGCTTTTTCCTTGGAAAAAGAAAACAACCCTCCTACCAAGGAGCCTGCTAAGGAGGACCTCTTCAAGGAGTGCAGCGTCCCTGCCACTCCTGTGCAAAGCCCAGATGAGTCAAACGCCACTGAAGGAGACCTGGACACCAGAGACTTGGAAATGTCCAAGAAAGTCAGGCGGTCCTACAGCCGGCTGGACCCCCTTCACTGTGCCTCCACCTCCACCCCAGGCCGCCCATCCTGCTTTGGCTTCGAGAGGCTGCTGGGGACAGAAGACCTGGCCGGAGTCTCACCCTTGGTGTGTTCAAAGTTAACCGAGGTCCCCAGGGTCCCTGGGAATCCTTGGGTCCCGGACACGACTCTCCCCGGAATTTCCCCACCCGTGAAAGAGAAAAAGAAGAAGAAGAAGGTGCCGGAGATCCTGGTGAGTGAGGGGCAGGGGCCTTCCTCTGCTGTCATGCAGACAAACTGGGAGATGCCGGGGCACATGCTGGGCTGGGGCTCAGCTCTGGTTGTTTTGGGGGAAAGACAGCACCTGCGTGCAGGGTGTGGGTAGACATGCTCCAGACAACGTGTCCTCTTCCCCACTCACCTGCCTCCCATTTCTCTTCCCCCAGAAATCGGAGCTGGATGAGTGGGCTGCAGCCATGAATGCTGAGTTTGAAGCTGCTGAGCAGTTTGATCTCCTGGTTGAATGAGATGAAACTGGGGTGCACCTAGCCAGACTTCCTTCCCCCTGTACATAGCCTCTTCTTCCTATGGAACAGACACTTGGGGTCCCCTTCCCTGGCCTTGCTACCTGTGCATGTGCTGTTGCTGCACGTGAGGTTTGCCCTTGAGTGTTTGTGTGGTGGCAGCTGTAGGAAATAGGGTTTGCCTGGCCGGTGTCCTGGCTGTAGTCAGTGACCCACCATCGTCTCCTCCCTACTTCCTGCAGTGTCCTGGCCAGCTTCCAGTTGGGCTACAGACTTGGGAGGGAGAATCCCTAGCCCAGCCGGAAGAGCCTACAGGGCTGGGGATTGTGGGTGAGAGCATCTCTACTGTTGCTGGGGGATGTGTGGCTGCCCTGTGCCAGCCCCAACAGAAACGCATCAGCCCATGTGGCTCAGTGATTGAGCATCGACCTATGAACCAGGAGGTCACGGTTCGATTCCTGGTCGAGGCACATGCCTGGGTTGCGTGTTGAATCCCCAGTGTGGGGCGTGTAGGAGGCAGCCGATCAATGATTCTCATCATTGATGTTTCTATCTCTACCTCTCCCTCTCTGAAGTCAATAAAAGTGTATTTAAAAAAAAGAAACTGGCATCTGCAGCCAGAGCTGCCTCAGGCTCTCTCCTGAGTTGCCTTCTGTTGGTGGCTTGGTTCCATCGGTGTAAAAAGGCTTGGGTTTTCTTAGATTCTGTAGATGGTCCAGGAGACAATTTGTGGATTTGGGACAGTTCTATCTGTGAGGAAGAAGCTGGGCACTCAGGCAGTAGAGTCGGGTTTAGAAGGAGAGTGGGAAAGCCTTAGTTGGCTTTGGACCATAGGCGTTTACTCCTTAGAAGCTGTATTTTATATTTCTGTGTTCTGCTGTTGAGGTATTTGGTTAAAAACAAGGCTGATGGAGTGCTGGCTGTGTAGGGCAAAGGGTGCATTTGGGGCTGTGGCACCAGGTACCACAGGTCCCAGCCTCTACAGAACCTGAGGCTCGGCGGGGAAGGGGCCCATGGCAGGAGGTGACCCCTCTTGTCATGCACACCTGTTTCTTACAAACTAAAGTTCACAGTCTATTCAGCTCTAGAACAAAAACATATAAGTTAAGCCGTCCTAGTCCCACTAGCATTTTGCAGCTACACATGTAAAGTTCTAGGAAGCTTTTCTCACGGTTCAGAAGGGGCAGGGGTTGATAGCAGTGTTAACCTTCAGCTTCCTTAGTGCCCTGTCACAGGAGGACACTGCCTGAGGCAGGTGCTAGGAGTTGAGCTAGGGGGCAGAGAAAGATCATCTTCGTGCTTTCAGGGAACCCCACTCCCACCATTTCTCTTCTCAATGCTGGTAAAAGGTGTGCTTTCAAAGACTGCCCAACCACACTTTGCTCCACCCCCCATGTTTTGAACCTTTGCACATTTACAGGTTTGTGGAAGTAGAGGCTAGTGAATAGCAGATTCAGGGAAGATATGCTTGGTTCAGTTACCTGAACGGCGCTAATGAAGCTCTTTACAATGCCTGCGAGTCCCAGACTACCTGTTCAACGCTTTGTGCTTTGTCAGATCTTACAAGCAAGCCCCTTTGTCAGGGTGGACCAGATGTCCTTGAGCTGGACCACACCTGAAGAATTCTTGTCCTCACTGGCTGGTGGGCAGGACTCCTGAGAATTGTTTTAGTCCTGTAGAATCAGGAGTAGCCAGATGATGTTGAGTTAATGTCATTGCTGCAAACTTCTTCCTGAAAAACTAAGAATGTGGAGTTTAAGGGAAAAATATGTTCTTTGTTTTATTAATAAACCTGGTTGAAGAGTGTGTTCTGAGATTGTGTTTCTTTCGTTGGGTCAAAGGCAGAGCTGAGGGTGTGAGGCCCAGGAAGCTAAGCCTTCTTGGGCTGTGTCACAGGGTTGCCCCATCCCCCATGTCTTTTTCTATTTAGATGCTCACACCATTCTTCCAAGGCTGGGTTACCTGCCTCAAGGGGAGTTCCAGGGTGAGGCTGCCAAAAGCTTCATCCAGAGCCTGGGAACAAACCCTACCCCCCCATCCTGAGTCAAGCCCTTGTTTCCCTGTCACCCGTCCCCAGGAGCCTGCTCCTCACACTGGCCCAGCCTGGTGCAGAAGCCCCTGGGGAACTAGTCAGAGATCCATGCATTTCCATGCAGGTGGCACAAACTAGTCTTATCATGTCTCTACATTTGTCCTTGCCTCCTAGACCGAGCAAATCAAGACCTTTAAATTCTTAAGGTTCGTGCTTGCTTCGGCAGCACATATACTAAAATTGGAACGATACAGAGAAGATTAGCATGGCCCCTGCGCAAGGATGACACGCAAATTCGTGAAGCGTTCCATATTTTAAAAAAATAAAATAAAATAAAATAAATTCTTAAGTTTCTACAGCCTTCCCACATCTCCCTTCTACCTCCTTACCTCACCCAGAGGAAAGCAGGTCCCTTTTTTCAAGGCCAAGCTTTCCATTTTGGCTTTTGATCCAATTCTGTAACCTGAGCCCTATGCCTCTCACCTACAAGTCCTAAACAGGCTTGTGTTCATTTTATTAGAAACCACCTTAACCCAAAAAAGTTTTGACCAGCCTCTCCTTTTAGCTACTACCATTATTCCTTTTGAGGTTAAGCTCCTTGAAAAAAATGTTAGGAAATTGCTGCTTCTGTCCCATGTACTCTAGGTGCCTGCCCTCACTCATTTACTGCTCAGTGACCACATAATCTGCAATGCTACAGATTCAGGCCTCTGCACCCTGGGCCAAGAGCACCCTTCTTGGGGCCATGACACTGCTGGCCCCTTTCTTTGCTTCCACTGAAATGTCAGGACACCTAGGTTCAGTCCTGGACCCTCTTTTTTTTTTCTTTATTGATTAAGGTGTTATATATGTTTCCGTATCCCCCGATTGTCCCCCACCACCTCCAGCTCATGCCTTCAACCCCCTGGTGTCTGTGTCCATTGGTTAGGCTTATATGCATGCATACAAATCCTTTGGTTGATCTCTCCCCCTTACTCCTTCCCTCTGAGGTTTGACGGTCTGATCGATGCTTCTCTGTCTGAATTTTTTTTTGTTCATCAATTTCTGGACCCTCTTTTCAATCTGCTTGACATCAAGCTCTCCAGGCCACCTTGTTGCCCAAGATTTGCCAATCTTTCCCTCCCACCCATATATCTCTCCTGAACTTCAAACCAGAATCTAGAACTATATTCTAGAACTCTATCTCAACTCAGAAGTTTACTTGAACTTAGCTTATCCATCAGCTTGCCTCTTCCTGTGCTCCCTATGTCATTAGCATCACCTCGACCTGACCCAGTCACACAAGCCAGGACACTGGGGGTCATCTGCAGCTCCACACTCTCCCTCCCCCCATCCCCTCAGCCCAATCTCAACATCCCTCCATCCCCACGGCTACTGGACAATTGCCTTGGCCTAGTGATTTTCAATCTTTTTCATCTCATGACACACAATTACTAAAATTCTGCAGCACACCAAAAAAATAAATTCCTTGCTGATCTGACAAAAAAAAAGTGTAATTTTGATTCATTCACACCAGACAGCTATTCTGTTGGTTGTTGTCTTTTTTTGTTTTTGCTAATCCTCACTCAAGGATATTTTTTCTATTATTTTTTTAGAGAGTGGACTGGAGGGAGGTAGTGGGGAGAGAGAGTAAGATCAATGTGAGACACATTGATTCATTGCCTCCTGCACACTGCCTTACTAGGGCTGGGAATCAAACCTGAATCCAGATTGTGTCCTTGACCACAAATCAAACCTGCGACCTTTCAGTTTGGGGCCGATGAGAAACACTGGCCAGGATAATTGTTGATTTTTTTTGTGTTTTTAAAAAATACATATTTTAGCCCTAGCCGGTTTTGTTCAGTGGATAGAGCATTGGCCCGCAGACTGAAGGGTCCCAGGTTCGATTCCTGTCAAGGGCACATGCCTGGATTGCAGGCTCGGTCCCTGGTAGGGGCGTGCAGGAGGCAGCCGATCAATGAGTTTCTCTCATCATTGATGTTTCTATCTCTCTTTCCCTCCCCCTCTCTGAAATCAGTAAAAATATATTGAACAAAAAAAGAAAATACATAATTTATTGATTTCAGAGAAGGAGATAGAAACATCAATGATGAGAGAGAATCATTGATCGGCTGCCTCCTGCATGCCCTCCTATTGGGAATCAAGCCCACAACCTAAGCATGTGATCTGACCAGGAATTGAACCAGTGACCTGGTTTATAGGTCGATGCTCAACCATATGCTGGGCCACTTTTTAAATTTGATAATCTAAGTTGAGGTCAATGCCCTGACTAAATAGTCAATGCCCTGACTAAATAGTCATGCATGTTTAAAAGTTCCTCCCAACCAGTGTGCATGGCACACCAGCTGAAAAATCACTGCCCCAGTCTAGTAGCTCTTCAAACTACACTGTGGCCCGAATGAGTTTCAAAGAGAAAATATGGTGGTGTTTTTCCCCTGCTTAAAGGAAGGGGAGGGGAGGGAGAGAGAGAAACATCAATGATGAGAGAATCATTGATCAGCTGCCTCCTGCACACCCCCTACTGGGGATTGAGCCTGCAACCCGGGCATGTACCCTTGACTGGAATTGAACCTGGGATCCTTCACTCTGCAGGCTGATGCTCTATCCCAGTGGTCGCCAACTGGTGGTCCATAAGGTCTGAAAGGTTGGTGACGGCTAGTTTAGGAAACCTTTGGAGCAGTGGTTGCCAACTGGTGATCCGTGGATCACTGGTGGTCCGTGAGGTCCGAAAGGTTGGCAACTGCTGCTCTATCCACTGAGCCAAACCAGCTAGGGCTGCTTAAAACCTTTTGATACAATTCCATTTCTGGGTGTAATACCCAAAAGAATTGGAAGTAAGGTTTTGAAGAAATATTTGTACATCCATGTTCATAGCATGGCTTCCAATAGACAAAAGGTGGAAAACACCATAAATATCCATTGATGGATGAATGGATAAGCAAAATGCAGTATGTAGGTACACTGGAATATTATTCAGCTCTATCAGTTTCAAAGGGAATGAAATTCTGATGCTACAAC